TAATAAATCACTCTCTACCCTAGATTCATCCAACCTTACCTCGTTTTGTACATTTATTTCGTCTTGTGATGTTTCAGATGAATCTGGTTTATTGTAAACGACATCAATTACAGCAAGTTGAACTCCATGAGCATAACAAAGTTGTTGATCGGGCTTAATGAGACGGCCAACTTTTACCATGACCTTGGCACCGTCTGTGGTAATATTGACGACATCTTTATCAAGTGATACATCATACTCTGAAAGTTTTTCTGTTAAAATCGTTACACAGGATTGTGCTGGCAAGCTTCCAAAAATACGCACCAGGCCCAAGTTCCAAAAAATAGGCTTACCATCAAATGCGTGTATATTTACATTTAGGAAGCGCCTATTCCTCGAGGAAGTCCATTCGTCGAAGGTGAGAGTAAAACGATGACCGGTTTCTTTCAACTTCGATAAGTCTTGAATAACTTTCATTTTCAGAGTCATACCAAAATTCATTACCATCAGTTTTATCGAGTTTGGAGATGAAGGTAATTTATAGCCGCCTGCTATAAAGAGATCTCGCAAGTCTGAGGACGTGCAGAAAACACTAAACGGTAGGCCATCCTTTGAAACCATCCGTGACACCTTCTGCTCTACGGTATTATTTTCTCTATGAAAATGATCAGTAATTTTGTGTTTTTTTGCCGACGAAGCTGAAGAAGAAGAGTAGGCATGGGCATCATCTTGTGTATCTGGTGTAGAAAGTGACGGTGCCGAGGAATTAGACGTCGATGTCTCTGAAGCTGGTCGAGCTGGATCGCCTGAAGCGAGAGAGTTGTCAGATTCACTTGCTTTGGTGTCAATCTTATGTTTAGATTTCAGATGAACGTGCAAGCCCTTAGTTGAACGCCCTGTGGTTTTTATGATTGATTTACATATCTTGCATTTAGCAGTCTGCGAATCTTCTGCCTTTAAAAAGTGTCTCCACACTATACCTGCACTGGCAAAGTCTTTATAAACAATGTTCGACATAATTAAATACAATAGTCCCGTTTAATTCACTAAAACAAATAAAACTTAACACGTTATTAAGTTACGTCACGATTGCAAAATGCAACTGACAAAAAATAGGTAAACAAACCCCGCGCCGCACGGGTCGGGCGTTCAAAAGAAAGCTCCGCCCCCGCGCCCTTCGTTCCCGTCCGCAACTTCTCTCTAGCTTAGTCAGTTCGCGCGCTTCCGCGCACCAAACAAGACGTGGCGTTTGTCGATGTTCAGTCCCGCTAATCCCGCGGGATCCCGCTCGATTTACGTGCGGGACTGGTCCCGCTAAAATCATGCGGGATCCCGTTATTTCGGGATCCCGGTATCCCGGTATTGCATTCTCTACGGATAAGGAATAGTGTGATTAGAGAGCGCTGTAAGTTGAACAATGATGTGGTAACTAGGATTGAAAGGGGTATGTTGAGATGGTTTGGACATGTGGAGAAAATGGATGCTAAGAGATTTACGAAAGGTATTTATTGTGCGATTATAACTGGAAGGGTCAGAAGAGGGCGCCCGAGGAGAACTTTCGGTTACCAAATAAATGATCTTCTCCGAAAAGCGCAGGTTCGAAGTACCCGTAATCGACGAGAATGCATGAAAATATACATGAATGTGGAAGAAGCGAGAGAGATTTGTCAGAATCATAGATTGTGGCACTCCATAGTCTGCCTACCCCCATTTTGAACTAAAATAAGTAGGTACCAAAACCTTCTCCTAAATGCAACAAATACTTTTCTGAAAACTGCATCAAAATCTGTTCAACCAAACGCGAGATAGTTGCAGAGAAATATACTTACATACATACGGGTAAAACTGAGAACCTCCTTTTTTAAATCTGTCAATAAAGAAGCCCATATCTATCTACGTACCAAATTCCCTTCCCCATTTATATTATTAATAAGCTTTTACCTGCAATGTAACTGAATCAATATTACTTTTGCTTGAAGCACATATCCAAATTTGCTGACCATTTGCATAGGTTTTGTTTTTGTAATATTGGTGTCCTGCATAAAGCACCACCGTACCCCTTCCTCTCTTTAAAAACACATGATTCGATTCTTCTTCGTTTACTTCTATCTTTGCTCCACACGTAATATTTATTAATTTACATGACAAATGTCAATGAGTGACGTATACCTACTTCATAATTTGTTTTATATTGGTCTACAGTGATCCTTCACAGAGGATTGATAAGAAATAATGAAATTGACAATTTCCTCTCCAGACACGAATACACTTACCTATTCGTTTATTATGATGACTGTACCATTATTTTCACAGTAGTTCTATTTGGAACAAAATCCACGTTTCCAAATAGTTCGATCTATCAGTATAACATATTGGAATAAAAAATTCCAAACAGTTCGACTATCGAACTACTGGTAGGACTAGGTGGAATAAAGGGTTTCTTTCGCTTGTTCTTCTTGTCAGCTAAAATACGTCCTGAACAAGATATTTTCTTTTCATTTCATTTCACTAAAGTAATTCGAACCAACAATGGACTAGCATGGACTCAAAGCGAAAAGCGTTCTTTGTTTATGTGTTTGAGATTCGATGACGGTTGGCCTTGAAATTACGAAATAAACGTAATAAAAATCAATTTTCATATACTAAAAATGAATCCTCGATAAATTGATTAGGGGAAGGGGGGCAAGGCGGGGTAGTTAAGGTTTGATGCCCAATAAAAGTACACCTATTGTATTTTAAGAATTCGTTATACTGAAGTAATTATCTTTGATTATCAGTCTTTGTTATTATAATCTTCTTAGAACTCTTAGTAACACATTATAATAAAAAACTAGAAAAGGTCCCTTCTCCCATCTTGCTCCATCTATGGGGCGAGATGGGGTACCCCTATGGGCAATATGGGGTACCACTAAGACAATATTCACAAATAAAGGTTGCGTCTTCATCCTCGTCTTCTATGCCGGCACAACTGCAGTGAGCCCATTTTCCGCATGCCGAACAAGCAGCACAGCCTTCATTAGAGTCCAAAGATAAGTCATTGCAATACAAGCAAGGTGGATTTGATGTGTCGCTATCACTATAATTTAAGTTCCCTCGTTTCCTTTCTTCTCTTCTTCAGCTAGTTTTCTGTATAGTTTCCTCTAGATCATTTTTAAATGGCGAAGAAGTGTTAATAGCGGTCTTTCCTCTTTTCCTAGTCACGCGGGAAATATTACGTGTTGTGGGAAATGGCATTATTTGCTTTGGACTTACAACTGAAAATGACGATCCTCTGGAGTTCGTGGTCTATTTTCCTGCCAACTAGAACATCCCGGTGTAGGGGTTAATGGTGTACCGGATACTACTTTAGACGCTATTTCATCTACATTGACATCTTCAATCGTAGTTGAGACCACTGTAGGAACATCTGTCCGAAGTCTTGAAGACTCGGTTTCAGATCCAGCAAGAATTGCACTATTGTTAGAAGCTGGTTACTTCGGTTCATTTAATGTAATTTCACTCACCAATGACGGCGCAAAGTCGTTTTCAGAGAAAACTGTTGGATCATAAGGCCAAATACCGCATTTTTTAAAACCATTAACAGCGGTTGACATATTTGATGCCTGTACAAAGGCTTTTCCAAATATTTCCGCAATTTGTCGGACTGTGACAACCATTCCAGGATTGCCGCGAAGCCAGATTGTGACTTGTTGATCATAATAGGTGCTCAATGGTCTCATATAAGCAATGTCCGCAACTTGAAGACGGTGGGTTGTGTGTGGAGGGAAACAAAATTTTCTTGATTCTTTTATAACATCTATGTTTTGTGTGTGTGTACTATGTTCCTTCAAAAATAATAGAACAGGACGCTCAGGTGTTGCTCCACAGAATTCTACAAACCTCTTAAACCATTTAAAAAAAATGTCTGCTGTCATCCAGCCAGAATCGCTACACACGCCCCAAGATCCAGGTGCAGCATTTAGCATGAGTTGGGGGTCCATGCGTTTACGTGGAAACACCATCATTGGTGGCATATAATGGCCAGTAGCACTGAAGCAGATTTCAACAGTGATGGTTGTGCCTCGCGGAAGTCAATGATCCTACTTGCTTTCTGCCTTTTTGGCTATTTTTTAGACCTTGTTTTAGGCACAACGGAAATTCCAGTTTCGTCGCAATTGTACACTCTATCGGCTGTTAAATGATGTTCATCATAAACGTTGCCCAAAAAGTTAAAAAATTGTTCAAGAGCTTGTTTATTAAAACCTGCAGCACGTGCAGCCGAGGTGTATTCTGGCTGCATTATGGATAGCTCTGGGTGTCTTTTTAAAATCGCTTGTGCCTAGTCTTTCCCAGCTTCTTCTTTTTCATTGTTAAAAGGATGCTGTTTATTGTTTTTAACCACAAGCCTGTAAAATAAGCCTCTTAAGTCTTTTATCGTCAATACATAAAGCCTGGACTCCATATCTAATATGTTATTGAATAATACTCGCTCTTCTTCTTCAGAGAACACTTGCTGTTTTGGGCCTAACACAACTTTAAATTTATTTCTTAATTTTTTTTTTCTGAACTGTCACGAACCATCTTCACTTTCCGTTCCAATGTAGTCTGTGGGACTGAAAATGACTTAGCTGCTAACATATAGCCCATTGTTCCTTTTAGCACAGCTTCCACCGCATTTTTCATATTCTCTTCTGACCAATCTCCTCTATTTGTTTTCATTTTATAGTTTCTCACCATTCTAGAACAAATTATTTTTATATAGTAGTTTAAAACCATAAGTAATTTAAAACGGGATTATGAATGGAGCATGATGGGGTACCCCATACCCCACCTTGCCCTTACAGATCGTTCTGAATTTAAAAAAAAATAATAGATAAAAGCATTAAGGAATACAGACAAAAGCAAGTTATTACCCGTAAATGTAGATATTGCCACATGTAAATCAATTTAACTCTTTGCAGCACAGAATTTTGTTTTCAGAGAAAAACAATTATTTTTGTTTATTCCTAAGGTATAGTTATATAAGGTTATGTCCGATTTTTGAATGTAGGGTAATGGGGGGTCGGATGTGGGGTGGTTCGAACAGGCTCTTTTTTTGTACTGCACCTGCTGCAACGCCTGGAAGTACCTCGCACTAGTAGATGATTGGCGACAGCTAATCTAATGGATTGGGGAACATCGGGTTTGTGTCTCCCTAAGGAAAACAAACTTGGGGATGAGGAATTTGTTTTTGATTTACGTGTCATAAAGTTTTTATTGCTAACATAAGCTGGCGCCAACATGTCTTGGTATACTCTGCGTCTGAAATCTTTCAGACAAAGTTTATCATGACACGTATTAGGATCTTTTTGAAGATCTTTGTAACTACGTAACACATGATATTTTGAACAAGAGATCATGGCATACTAACAATAAGTTATAGACAATTTAACTAATCTTAATCTAAACAACAGCTTATCTGACTATTTACCTGACTAAATTATTTACTTGTCTAAGAAACGTAATGGCCTTTTGAATAGCAGATGGTCCAGACGAAATTTTCACTTCTACTGAATCAACGTACAGCTTCAGAACGTCGTAACAAAATATATATTGCCAAACGCTAAACAAACTGTGGTACCTGCGTGTACGTATATAACCAACTATTGATGCTATTGAAACCTTTTGTTCGATTTCAAATTTAGCGATGCTTATGTCCACCACACAGAAGCAATGGGTTCTTCCAAGCCCCGCGTTGCAATGGGCGACCATCGGAGGTGCCTGGGAATATTGATAGCCATTAATCATAGACTCCACATCAAGCTCTTCTTGAAATCGCCTCACTTCCAACAAAAATTGAAAAAACTCGGTAGTATCTGATGGCACATTGTGATCTGGCCACGCAATGAAATTGAAATGCGTCACTTTCTGGACGGCTTCTGTCCCATCTGTGATATGCGGGGTTGTTTTCACGTAACTGGAGAACCGCTCAACCTTGGTCGTAGTTACTTGGAACTTTTGGAACTTGAGTGATTGCTGCTCCTCCTCATGCCAGTAAGGATAGCATTTTTCTTTTCCGTTTTCTTTCTTCTGGCAGAGCATGACGACTATCTGACTATTTACCTGACTAAATTATTTACTTGTCTAAGAAACGTAATGGCCTTTTGAATAGAAGATGGTCTAGACGAAATTTTCACTTCTACTTAATCAACGTACAGCTTCAGAACGTCGTAACAAAATATATATTGCCAAACGTTAAACAAACTGTGGTACCTTCGTGTACGTATATATCCAACTATTGATGCTATGGAAACCTTTTGTTCGATTTCAAATTTAGCGATGTTCATGTCCACCACACAGAAGCAATGGGTTCTTCCAAGCCCCGCGTTGCAATGGGCGACCATCGGAGGTGCCTGGGAATATTGATAGCCATTAATCATAGACTCCACATCAAGCTCTTCTTGAAATCGCCTCACTTCCAACACAAATTGTAAAAACTGTAGTATCTGAGGGCCATCACATCGTGATCTGGTCACGCAATGAAATTGAAATGCGTCACTTTCTGGACGGCTTCTGTCCCGTCTGTGATATGCAGGGTTGTTTTCACGTAACTGAAGAACCGCTCAATCTTGGTCGTAGTTACTTGGAACTTTTGGAACTTGAGTGATTACTGCTCCTCCTCATGCCAGTAAGGATAGCATTTTTCTTTTCCATTTTCTTTCTTCTGGCAGAGCATGACGACTTTCTGACTATTTACCGGACTAAATTATTTACTTGTCTAAGAAACGTAATGGCCTTTTGAATAGAAGATGGTCCAGACGAAATTTTCACTTCTACTGAATCAACGTACAGCTTCGGAACGTCGTAACAAAATATATATTGCCAAACGTTAAACAAACTGCGGTACCTTCATGTACGTATATAACCAACTATTGATGCTATGGAAACGTTTTGTTCGATTTCCAATTTAGCGATGCTTATGTCCACCACACAGAAGCAATGGGTTCTTCCAAGCCCCGCGTTGCAATGGGCGACCATCGGAGGTGCCTGGGAATATTGATAGCCATTAATCATAGACTCCACATAAAGCTCTTCTTGAAATCGCCTCACTTCCAACACAAATTGTAAAAACTCTGTAGTATCTGAGGGCACATCGTGATCTGGCCACGCAATGAAATTGAAATGCGTCACCTTCTGGACGGCTTCTGTCCCGTCTGTGATATGCGGGGTTGTTTTCCCGTAACTGGAGAACCGCTCAACCTTGTTCGTGGTTACTTGGAACTTTTGGAGCTTGAGTGATTGCTGCTACTCCTCATGCCAGTAAGGATAGCATTTTTCTTTTCCGTTTTCTTTCTTCTGGCAGAGCATGACGACAATCTGGACGTGCTCCATCCACAGCATTCTATAGAAGTTGTAGCACGTCCGCTGAGTAGGGGCCTCTGTAGAAATGAATCTTTTTGGACATTGGAAGACATCAACGTAGTTTGCGTTTATGTAGTTACCCCACTCTTTCTCTGTAGGCAGGATCATTCAGGAGTGATCGAAACATACCTTATGAATGAATTGGTTCAAACCAGGGTTACTATTGTTGGCTTCGAATGACCCTACAACTTCTTTGTTCAGTATCTGCTGATGTTCTTCCACAATTATTTCTTCGCGATCGCTGCGTGCCATCAGCGCAACAAAATCCGAGTGCTTCAGATCCTTGAACTCGGTATCCATAGTAGTTATCAACAATAAAGGTAATTTGAATAAATGGAATATTATATAATTATTTCAGTCTTCAGTGGTTAAATATTGATCGAGGACTGATGACATACACCCGTATTTATCAACAAGCAAAAGCCATTACTTAAGTAAAAGTAATTGCTCAAGTAACAATTTTTTATTCTATAGTTAAGAATTTGCTTGACATTATAACTGTCTACAGTTAGAATTCCTAGCTGAGTAATAGTCACCGTTACCTTTGCTTAAGCAATAAGAATACATTATAAATGACAGTTTCACTTGCGTGGTTTTAAATTGCTTAAGTAATTTCTTTATATTCCTAGGTTGTTAGTTGGCGTTAGAAGTATTTAGTTGGCGTGCTATTTTAGAATGGAAAGCATCGAAGCGATCGAAGCTACATTTGCTGTTATAGACAACATAGATAACGATATATTAGAGGAGATTGAAGTTGCTGAGCCTAGAAATCCCAAAGTATACTTTCGTGATGTAGATACAGTACATAATTTTTCTGAAGATTTTTTTAAAAAGAGATTTCGTTTCTCCAAAAGTGTGGTTTTAAATGTGATTTTACCGCGAATTACAGAGTTTTTACAATCCGAAACTCGAAGAGGGCTACCTATAAGTCCACTGTGCCAGTTATTAATTGCCTTACGTTTTTATGCAACTGGTAGCTTCCAGATTGTATGCGGAGACATTATGCATATTTCGCAATCAACAGTGTGTGAAATTGTAAAGAAGGTCAGCCGTGCATTAGCGTTGTTAATGCAGGATTTTATTAAGTTTCCTACAAATTTAAGAAAAACAAAGGATGATTTTGAAAAGCTTGGACGTATAGGAAGAGCAGCTGGACTGAAAAACATTGTTGGTGCAATTGACTGTACCCATATTAAAATCACAAAACCTAGAGGTATTGTTCATACAGAACAGTATCGAAACAGAAAGGGTTATTTCCCACTCAATGTCCAGGTGGTTGGTGGCCCTAATTTAATGATACATGATATAGTTGTGCGTTGGGCAGGCAGTACTCATGATAGCCGAATCTTTAGGAACTCACGACTGAATATAAGAATATTAAATTGTGAAATTGATGGAGTATTACTTGCAGATGGAGGAAACCCTTGTACCAGGTAGATATCTTATTAGTTAATAACTTTAACTAATTTAACGTTGAATAAGGAATAAGTAGGTAGGAACTTACCAAGATTGAAATGTCTACTATATATTTATAAAATATGTCTATTTATAATTTAGGCTAGGCTTATATCTATCAGAAAATAATGACATATAAACAATCACATTTTCGCATTTATATTATTCATTTGAAAAAAAATAACTCAATTATTCCATTGTCGCATTAAAAAAACTACTACCCGCTCAGCTAAGACCGTGACTGCACCTAATTCTTTCCACATAGGATTGTTTACCTTTACATACTTTGTCAAAATAATGCAAGAATGTTAATCTAAAAAATCATTTTTTATTTCAGATTTTTATTAACTCCAATTTCTAATCCCACAACTCTGTATGAGGAGAGATATAATAAAGTACAAATAAAATCAAGAAATTCAGTGGAACGATTATTTGGAGTATGGAAAAGACGGTTCCCATGCTTACAAAATGGTTTAGCAACCAAACTGTCAACAACTGCAAATATCATAGTGGCTTGTGCAGTGCTACATAATATAGCAGTGGAAGTGAACGACTATTTTGAAGATCCTGATGAAGAGATAGTCAATACAATTCAAAATAATGCTGAGTCTACCACTATAAGCCCAACGGGAACCACTGATGGTTTAGTACTTCGAGCTAATTTGATTGCTCGTTATTACACATTTTAAATAAAAATAATACATGTGTTATTAAGCATAATATTTTATTAAATAAAACTTTGACATTATGACATACAGGTTTTAATTTTTTCCAATTCTTTCAATTTAATCTGTAGTTCAATTTCGTATATCTTTTCCTTGTGGTCTCTTTCTAATGTTTTTATTCTTAATTCTTCTTCATGTAGTTTTTTTTTAATTTTAATTCTTCCTTTAATATTTCATATTTTATTAAATCAATTTTATTGCACTTCATGTCATCAAAACGCCTTTTCTTCGGTATTTTATCATAATGTATTTGCTCGTTTTTGTCCTCTTCTTTTTTTTGTTCTGGTACTGTACACCATGCGTCATCATTCGTATCACCCAATATTATTGTACTTTTCTTTTCTTTGTTCACCCAATATTTTTAATATTATAACATAAAATTAAAAACTATATACTTCTAATGGAAAACCAAAATACCAAGTAATAACCAAAAGTACTTTTAAAATAAATGTATCTGAAAATATTTGTATTTTTTGTCTAGTGAGGATATTATTAATCTTGAAAGTGAAAACAAGTTAAACACCTATTAACAGGAGTAGAACAATCTCTTACCATTTATGTCACTGTCGATATCCACTACTATATTAGTTAGGATATTTTTATCTATATCCATTACTTTAGCATCTATGGGATCCATATCCATAACAGATGGTCCTCCTCCAGTTAAGTGACGGACATTCTCTTTGGTTTTTGATTCCCTCGCTTTTGCCTTCATGTTGTACCATAATTTAGTCAATTGCTTTATTGATGCCTGAAAATTTTTATATAAATATTAATTAATACTAAAATACAACAATATTGTAAAAATAATTATGATGAGAACCATAAAATGATTCTTATCTCATATAAAATCAAAGATACATCTTCGAGTGTTGCTCGATGTACTATTCATTATACTGAGATAACAAAGATCGCCAAAATTTTCTAGTACCTCTGTGTGTCATTCTATATCTATGCAACAAGAATGCATGAATGATGCAAAATTAATAAAAAGTAAAAAGTCGCCTATCTGCTTGGTTACAAGATCAAGCAAAAGAAATATATGACTGAAGTGACTAATAGGTAAGTATGGATAAAATAGGTACTTGCTGAGTAACAATAGAGGATTCATTAAATTCATGTAATATTTTCTCCCATGTTTGCTTCTTTTTTACGGCACTTGTAGCGTTTGTTTGTTTAGAGGTTAATATCGCATCATATTTTTGTATAAACTTAAAACAACTCTTTTTCCAAACATGAAAACGGTTTCTTTCTCTCTACTTCAGACATTTTAGAAATAAAAATGATAAGGTAGTAAATTCCAAATAATTCAACACGACACCAATAAAGCAACTTAGCCAAATTTTCGGAAGTTGTGACAAGTTTTTGACATGATATGACACCTTACTATGATAATAAATAAAAATCACATGTCAGTCGACTAGTCACAGTGTAAATAGTAACCACCGTAATTTGGCAGTGATATCGTCGTGTCAAACGACAAACAAACGTTTTGTTTCATCTTATGTACTTTACTAAATATAATGTTTTAAATATACGTCTTTATTGATATAATTATTTTAATAACTATTAATTTTATTGTAATTGCACTATAAAATATTATTTAAGTTATTAAACGATGTAAAATGCAAGTTATTATCTTGTTCTCTTATGAAACGAAACGCAGTAATAAAATGTTGCCATCTGCTGCCAGCGAGAAACAAGCGTCAAGCAACGACCGTTACTAAAGCAAATGCTTGGACGAGTAACCTTTATTACTTAACTATAGAATAAGATTCTGTGCTCGAGAATTCTAACCTCAAGTAATGACTTAACTAAGAAATTACTTAGTAACAAGTAATTACTTGTTTATAAATACGGGTGTTAGTCACTTAACGATGCCTTAAATAGGGATATTCTGAAAAAGTTATACATTTATATGGGCTGATATGATCTACTATTATTCAATTATATGTCGGATTATCCTCTATATGAACCGCAGGATTTTGATAATATGTGTAAGTGCTGACGTACATATATATATATATATATTCTATTCAAATAATTCTGATTGGTGCTAACTGTACTGATAACATTGAATTACAATGTTGTATGAGCCAGCTTATATAAGATTATGTAAGATTATCCTCCATAAACCACATTTTACCGAATATCGAGTGTGTGTTGTATTTTATAAGGTATATTTCCATCTTTATGGAAAAATGCTAAAATTACACCAATTTACAAATCGGGAGATAAAAGAGATGTAACGAATTATCGTCCTATTAGTATATTAAATTGGTTCGCAAAAATTTTTGAATCTATTATTTATCAAACATTATATAACCACATTAAGCCTATCCTTAGTCATAAACAGCATGGTTTTATTGAAGGCAGATCAACTGAATCGAATTTACTGAGCTATACTACTTTTTTGTGCGAATCGTTTAATGACGGTGCACAAGTAGACACCATATATACAGACTTTGCAAAGGCCTTTGACCGCGTTAGCCACTCGATACTTTTGGTTAAGGTATTTCACATGGGTATCCATGGAAGTTTGTTGCGCTGGCTGGCATCATATGTTCTCAGTTGGTAGCGTTAGGTGGTTATGAGTCTTTACCATTCATTCCAGATTCAGGAGTACCGCAGGGATCAAATCTGGCACCACTGCTCTTTTTGATATTCATTAACGACCTTCTTGATACCATTGAGGTAGACTGTCTCGCTTTTGCCGATGATATTAAGATTTTTAAACGAATCATCAGTTACTATGATTGCGAAGTCTTGCAGGGGAACCTATATGGGGTGTCAAAATGGTGTCACCTAAATCGAATATCACTGAATGTTGATAAATGCCATGTTTTTTCTTTTACAAAAAGGAAAAATCCCAAACGTTACAAGTACAGTATAAACAACATTATTCTTGCGCGTGTCACTGCAGTCCCTGATTTGGGGGTATATGTAGACTCGTAGCTTTCGTTTCGAACACATTACGATTATATTTGCAATAAGGCTAATCGAATGCTTGGTTTTGTGCTTCGAAATGGTAGGCCATTTAAGAATGTTAAGTCGTGGCTGATTCTGTATGACGCCTTGGTTAGAAGCATATTGGAGTATTGCTCTTCAGTATGGTCTCCT